TTCCGGTCATTGTGGGAGCACTGAGGAGTCATGCCCCATTCTCCATGCTACATTCAACAAGAGAAAAATCTGAAAAAGATTTTGAATAATTTAAAAAAAATAGAAACCATACAGGAAATGTGAGACGGCTCCCCCCCCCCTTTATTCTTCGGAAAATAATTTTTATTCATTTTAATTTATATTTTTAAAAACTTAAAAATAACCGCTATGTGTTTTTTTTTTTTTTTTTAAGGAAAACAATTTTGATAATAGATAATTTTAAGCACCTTGAAAATATTTCAGACGATTATTATTATTATTAATTAACAATAATTAATTAAAATTTACATTTAAAAACAAAAAAAACACTTTTAATTTTACTTAATCGTTTAAAAATTTCACACAATATAAACAATTTTTCAATTGTAAACAATATTATTATTATTTGTTTAAATTTTCCGCTTTGTGTGTGTCTATCTCTCTCTCTCTCTCTCTCTCTCTCTCTCTCTCTCTCTCTGTGTGCAATAATATATTATATAATATAATTATTGAATATGGGTTTTACGTCATGTAAACTTTAAAAACCACTTTCATCTCTACAAAATATAAAAATTTAATCATTAATTTAAAAATATATATTAATATATATATACTAAAAGCTCGAGTGACCATGTCTATGACCTCATGTGTGGGATGTAAACAATGATAAAGTGATAATACAACCTTCCATTTTACTAAAAAAAAAAAAAACTCGTTTCATTACTCACGAATTAATCTCAGCAAAGTTAAAATATATATATATAATATTATATTATATATATAGTATATATAATATACTATATATGTAAATTCAATAATGGGAAACCAGTAAAACCGGGTGATCTAAAAACAACAAAAACAATCGGAAGTATATATATGATATAAAAGGCCAAAAAATACTTGTTACGTCATGACTCGTGACGTCATAAACTATACGAAAAAAAAGGTGTGAAAGGTGTGAAATGGGGAGAGAGAAAAAAAAAAGAGGCTCAGACATTTTTTTTTTTTATTATTTAAAGTTTAATTTTTACGATGCGCTCTCTCCCCTCCCCCCTCTCTCTCTCTCTTTCTCTTTATCCCTCTCTCTCTCTCACTCTTTCTCTCTCTCTCTCTCTCTCTCTCTCTCTTACATAAAATTAAAAATCCACTCCCTAGGGATGAAATAATAAAAAGAAACTTTTCTTCGTCGAGAGTTAGTTAAAAAGAAATTTTTCTGTTTTTCGAAAAAACAAAAAACGAACCTGAAATAATAATGATGATGATGATGATGATAATAAAATTTTATTAAAACCATCGTAAAGTTATACGAAAAGAAAAAAGTTTACGCTGAGAAATTCTCCATTTTTTTTCGTTTTCGTTCTTGTTGTTATATTAATGAACGGGTTATTAGGTTATTAGACGGGTTTTAATTTTATTTTCCTTGAACGAGTACCTCGTAATAATAATAATAATAATAAAAAACCTACCTCTAGAAAGAAAGAAAAACATCAAACATGTAATTTTATGGAATTCAAAAAAATAAAAAATTTCGACCGTAAAATCTTTTTTGAAATCGTCACCCATGACTAAAAAAAAAACGTGATGGTTTCATTTTTTTAAAAATTTTATTATTATTATTATTATTACCTCTTCCCCCCTCTCTCTCTCTTTCTCTCTCACTCTATTCCCTAACTTAAATTAAAATTTTTTTTAATTACTCCAATTATTTATATTTTTCAATTTAAAAATCAATCAAATTTTTTTTTTTAAATTAAAATTTAATTGTGGTCAAAATTATTATTATTATTATTATTATTATGTAAATTAAAATGGCGAGGGGGTGTTGTTAAAAATTATTCATTTGACTTTGTATGATGCCCTTAAATAAATAAATTCAGCAAAGACCTTTTTCTTTTTTTTTTTTTTTTTAGTTCAATGAAATCAGCTATGAGAAGAAATAATCCCAAAATCATTATCATTATCATTATCATTAATTTATTATTTACTGTCATATACATTTAAATGGGGTGGTCGATTGATTAAAAGGTCGATTAACTCACCTGAAACCTCTCTCTCTCTCATACCTGAAAATCCCATATATAAAAAAATCATCCACCTTGAGTTTGTGCACCCGGTGCTGGATGTCCTTGTTTATTATTTCCTCATTTTACGGAAACTCAACCACATATGGAAAATAATTGTAAAATGACGGGGGTGGGGGGTGAGGGGAGGTCGGAAATATATTATTTTGATGGTCGGAAATACATTTAAGTGGATTTCGAACACCTATATATATATAAATGAGAGGGTTTTTAATACAATCAAGTCAATTCAATCGAAGACTCGGTAAATAATAATAATAATATCAAGTTAACAACCTAAAAAAAAAAAAAAAAAAAAATTAAAAATGAATTCTTTAACAACAATTGTTCTTTTTGGATTTTGTGCTGTTGGATTTGTTAAATCAGCTTCTCTCGGTGATGCTTTACTCACCGTATACGCCGGTAAGTTTTTAAACAATTCAAAATTTATTTTTTTGTTTAACCGATAATAATAATAATAATAATGAAAAAATTCAGATCCGAATGCTGTCGTACCGGAAAATTACGTTGAATTAGAAAGAGCTAAAAGAGAACCGGAAGCGGATCCGACTCACCATAAAGAACATCATCATTACCATCATCATCATCATGAAGTTGAAGCCGTTGAACACGTACCTGTAGTCCATTACGAAACGTAAGAGTCAAATTTTGTGCGAAAAGACAAACAAACAAACAAACGAACAAACAAAATAAAATTTTATGTTTTTTTGACTGTAGTAAACCAGAAACCTGTCACAAATGCGGTGGAGGAAATGTTGGTGGTGGAGTCGGAGCTACTTTTGCACAAGCTTCTGCTGGTACCATCAGCTCAAATGCCGGTCACGGTGGTCATGGTGGTCACGGTGGTTTAGGTGGTCAATCAGCAAGTCAAGCTGCTGCTTATAATTTCGGACCATTTTCAGCAAGTTTTAGTGCCAGTCACAGCGCTGCAAACGGAGGGTAATATAACCTTTTTATTATTTAACCTTTTAACCTTTTCTTCACATACATAAAAATTTTTTTTTTATTACCACTTATTTAATTTACGATCGCAATAATTTTTTTCTTTTTTTTACAATTTCAACTTCCTCAGTTTTTTAATACTTTTTTTTTTTTATAGATTTGGCGGATTCTATTAATAAAAACAAACAACAAACAATGTAAGAAAGATTTGTTTGCAACAACAACAACAACAACATCCAACAACATCGAATCTGCTTCGAAATATAAATTACGCGACTGCTTTTTTTTTTTTTTTTTTTAAATTATTATTATTTACTGTAAAACTAATTTATTAAACAAATCTATTTAATATATTTTATTTATAAAAAAAAAAATTTTTACGTGTATTTTTTTTTAAACCTCCCCCCCTCCCTCCCCCCGGGAAAAACAAACAAACAAAGAAACGAACGAACGAACGAATAAAAAAAAAAAAAAAAAATTTTCCCATGGGATTTCCATAATAAATGAATTTTCCTTGTAAATAAATAAGAAAATTCAAGATTCGGAAAATACTTCTTCTTATCAACACACACACATAACGGATTCAAGGTCAATTATCATTATCATTATCATTATCATTATTATTTGGTATTATCGCGAGAAAAAAATTATTAATCGACAGATTAATAATTAATAATACCGTATATGTGGAAGGTCAATTAATTATTAATGGATATTCCGATTTACATTATTATTATTATCATCAACATCATCTAAATTCTTAGAATTTCCCAGAAATTTCTTGGAAAAAAAAAAAATTAATTTTTTTTGTCTTACTCGTGACGTCACAAACGAGGAAACCCTTTAATAAATGAACCTTTTTCCGCAAAAAAAAATTTTCCAATCTTATGTACTTATTAAATTCTATACATATATGTACTACGTTTTTATTAATATTAATTTATTAATTAATTAAAAACCGGGTAATAAAATGATTAATAATGATAATGATAATGATAATAATTATTTTATTATTCTCACACACGCTCACTCGTTTTCATTTCGATTTAATTTTTTTGTTTTTTTATGGGAGAAGAAAAAAAATTTTTTTCTATTTTTTTTTCGGGGGAAGGAGGGAGAGGGTGGAGGGAGGAAGGGATGTCTTATCACTCTACCTTATCATTGAGTAATTTAAAAATCATATTATAAAAGTATAAATCCGATAATATAAAAAAAAAATTAAAATCTAACCAACTACCCGAGTATGATTACGCCGTTATTATTATTATCATGGCGGTGAAAGTTGTGCGTTTAAATGTTTTTTTTTTAATCAAAAATTAATTTAAAACAAAATGTCACGCATAAATTTAATTATTATTTGTTGTTGTTGTTGTTGTTTGTTGCTCTTTAAATGTTTAAATTAAAATTGGCATAAACCAGTTATGAGAAAAAAAAATTTACCCGTTTCGTTTTCAATTAAATTATTATTATTATTATTATTAATAATAATTTTACTTTCTTCTTACCCGTAATAAATTATCATTATTATCATTATTATTATTATTAATATTCGTTATTAAAAAGAAAGGAAACAAATGCAAAAAAAAAAAAATTTTCCTTTTAATTATAAATCGTGTAAACGTTTTCACGTCCACTCACACACATCAAATCGTAAAAATTTTCCGGGGGGGAAAGGAAAAACTTTTTCTAATAATAATAATAATAATAATAATGGAAAGGATTTAAGTGTGAATTTAATTGAAGTCATTTAAAAAAAAATAATAATAAATTAAATAATTTTCGTTTGCAGTTAAATCGATTTTATACTAATATTATTACGTCACACGAAAAAAAAAAAATCAGGAATTAATCGAAGAGAGTGAAAATTTTTTATTTATTTTATTTTATTTTATTATAAACATTTTATTTTTTTATTTAGTTTCTATCTGTTTGTTTGTTTGTTTTTACAACAAAAAAAATGAAATTAATTTTATTATTCGTTTGTTTTTTTTTTACCATCGTTTTTTGTCAAACACAAAATAAAAATGGAAATCCAACAGGAGGTAAATATTAAATTTTTTTTTTTAAATTTGTTCAAATTAACAGAAAAAAAAAACAAAATGTCTTCCGAGAATTACGATCTTCATATTTTGTGATAACATTATCAATAATTTTATTTACCCGGAGGGGAATGAGAGAGAAACAAAAAAAAAACAAAAAATTTCCCGGGTTTTTTTCCTTCGAGTCCGCCATTTTCTTTTTTTTGGGTTGTCTTAAACGACGCCATGTTTAAAAATTAAAACCTTTCGATCATTTACGTAACGATATCAATCGATAAAATTCAAATAATTTTCAAAGACACGTAAAATTATTCGATTGATTGATTGGTTTTTGTTCAAAGAGGAAATGCATGAACTTGAATATTAATTTATTTATTTAAATTAATTAAATACCTTGAAATATTTAATTTAAAAAGGATTTAATTAACTTTTTGTTAAAGAAATTGGACAACCTGCTTTTGATGAAATCGTTGTTGAAAGTACACTAACGGTAAGAGGTAAAGGACCAAGAAGTGGTAAATCATTGATAACAAACAATACAAATAAAGAAGAAGTTAAAGTTGAAGAATCCAAACCAAAAGAAGAAGAATCAACACCACAAGTTAAAGTAGAAGCTGTAAAAAGAAGTAAAAGAAGTCCTCAGAGGTAAAAAAAGCAATAAAAATAAAGTTTTTTTTTGGTAAACGGTATTATGATAAAAATTTGTAAATATGGCGGCGTAATGGTGATTGTTAACATTTTAACCAATTAAAAAAAAAAAAACAATTTTAGATCATGGGGTGGTAATTATGATTTATTAAGACAATTTATGTCTCGGGGATTTTCTGGTCGTATACCAACAGTAAGTACATCATCATCACAAGCTTCTAGCAATGCTTTTAACGTTAAAACTTTTAGTGGTAATTTTGGTGGAGCTTCATCGCAGGTAAACCAACCAAACCCACCCACACACACACACACACATATTAACACCATAACGGCCATTTTGTTTTTTTATTTTTTTCTTAATATTCAAATATTTTATTACAGTCCCATACTCAGTCGCATGTTCTCGGTCCAAAAGGATACCAGGGATCTGTTGGACAAAGTGCAAGTCAAACCTATTACCTTCCAGACGGTAGTAAAATCTCTGTAAGTTTTGGTTCTTCACAAAGTCTCAACAACGGTGAACCTTCTTATGGAAAAAGTCATTCTTTATCAATAACGTACCCGAACGGATCCGAACGGGTCATATATGCTTAAAATATGATATCACCTAACTCATGAGGTGTGGTATGAGTAATAATAGTTACCTGTAATAAAAATTTTAAAATTAATTTAGTTATGAGGAGGTGTGTGCGTATCCGTTGTTGTAACAAACGCAAAAATAAATAAATATTATTTAACGTACATAAAAAAATGTTTTTTTCCTCCTTCCCCCCCTTCTCCCTCCTCCCCTTCCCCCCTTTTTGAAAGAAACATTTAATTTTATAACGTAAATAAAAAGATTTTTTTTTCGCTTCGTAGAACATTCTAGAAAAAATTAAATAATAATAATTTATTAAATGAAAAATCACTCGATTGGAATAATAATTAGAGAGAAAGGGAGGGAAAACAAAAAATTCAGTGCAGCCAACTGTTTTTTTTTTTTTGTTTTTAAAAAAGAGTAATTATTCTTATTGATTGTTTCAAAACAATTTTTGGCGGAATAAGTGTTGTTTTGTATACTTATATTTTTTGGGGGGAGGGTAGGGGGGAAGGAGGAAAATTACTTTTTTTAACATAATAAAAAACGTAAATAAATAAATAAAAACTTTATAAAAAAATTAATTTGTTTTTGCTAAAGTTTTCCAAACAATTTTTTTTTTTTAAATTTAATTAATAACGGTCGAATCTCTCTCTCACGAAAAAAAGCCGGTTTGAGTTTGTTTGTTTGTTTGTTTGTTTTGAAACACGCAAAAAAAAAAAAAAACTTATTCGTAAACAAACAAACAAATAAACAAATTCGCATTTATTAATTTTACTTTTTGTGTTTTTCTTTAATCGATTTTCAGTCATTTTCAGTTATTGGGAAGTACCTGGAAAAACCTGTTTTTTTCCTTTTTTTTTTTTTTTTTCATTAAAATAATAAACAAGTTTTTATTTTTTTTTTTTATTCAGAAATTTTATTTTTTTACTACGCCTAAAACCATTTTTATATATTTTACAACTTAATGATCATTTTGAAAAAATAAAAAATATAAAAAAAAATAACAACAAATGTTGTTGTAAAAAAAAATTTTTTTTTTTTATTTTTTTAATAAGAAAAATAAAAATTTATTTATTTATTTATTTACGTTTTACTTATTATCCCTTTAATCCTCTTATTTAAATACAAATTATTATTATTATTATTATTATTTTAATATTAAATTCTAGAAAAATTTCAACAAAAAAAATTTTTTTTCAATCAACAAAAATTTTTTTTTAATAAACTTTACAACTTTTTTTTTTTTTTATTATTAATTAATTAATAAAAACGTGTTAATTTTTTATTTTTTTATTAAATTGAAGGGATTCCCTTGATTGCTAAAAATAATAATAATAATAATAATAATAAAATTAACCTTTTGATAATTAATAATAATAATAATAATAATAGAAAGAAAAAACTTTAACCCTTTAGCATTTTAATTTTTTTTTTTGTTTGTTAGTTTGTTTACACGCAAAAAACGGAGGGAAAACTAATTATTATTATTATTATTATTAAATTTTTTTACGAAAGTAGTAATAATAATAATGTGTTTGGTTTAAAAAAAAAAAAAAAATAATTTATTTATTTACTGATGATAAGACAAGTTTTTAAAAGTGAGAATTTTCAGCATAAACTTCATTGCCAAGTTCAATACGATGAGAAAACCTTGAACGTTCAAAATCGCATTGAAACTGAAGTTAAAAGAAAATTCCCACCCCCTCCCTTTTTAGTTTTCATCCTGCCCCCCAAAAAAAATTTTACTGGGGGTAAATTAAAAAAAAAATTGTAAAGTATATTTCCAATAAAAAAAAAAAATTAAGTTAAAAGATTAAGTTAAGATTTGTTAAATGAAAAAAAAAAATTTTTTCCAACCTCAGCCAAAAAGAAAAACAAGTTGAAGAAAAAAAAAGGATCGAATACCACGTGTACATTTAGGTATATATAAAAGCTTCATCGGGTTTGTACCTATCTATATATATATACCTGTAAGAAAATCAAATAAAGTGTGGAAAAATAATTTTTTTTTTTATTGGGAAGAAGAAGAAAAAATTAAAAAAAAAAAAAAAAAATGATTTCAGTTAAATTATTATTATTATTTATTTCAATGTCTGGTTTTTTATGCCTTTCGGTTACTGGAAATAGTGAATTCAAAAATGAATCAGGTAAAAAAAAAAAAAAAGATGTTCAATAATACTACTTTT